ACCGCAAGGCTACCAGTACGGCCAACCACCACCACCACAACCGCAAGGCTACCAGTACGGCAAGCCACCACCGCAAGGCTACCAGTACGGCCAACCACCACCACCACAACCGCAGGGCTACCCGTACGGCCAGCCACCACCACCACCGCAAGGCTACGCGTACAGCCAACCGCCACAGGATGCCTACTCATACGGGCAACCTCCGCCTCAACCGCAGGAGCCTCAGGGAGCATATGGATTTTTTCGCGATGTGGATATTAATAAGAAATAGGACGACGCAACAGTGTTTGTGGTAGAGGTTTGTGCCGTTTGTTAGTTTTTTTGTTGTATGTATATTGTGTTTTTTTTTTGTTTCTCTTTTTGCAGCACCGAATCGCTTTGACACCTCCGAGCATGAATGTGAATGCGAGTGTTGTGCCTGGTGAAACCCGAGGGACGAAGACAACCACGTTTGATTGTTGTGACCGCTCCACGAATGCCGTTCATTAGGTGCTGGGAGTTAGGGTAGTATGAAGTGAATGGAGGAAGCTATGCTTGTGTGATGATATATATGCTTTAGAGATGTTTTGGGTTGTTCTCTGCACCGCCCCCACTTTTGCTTTTTTGTTTTAGTGTTTGTCGAAGAAAACAAATCACACAATGAGCAAATCTAGTGTGTTTAGTACTGTGGGGAGGTTTTTGAAGGCGCTAGTGGTATGCACTTGCCTTCTTTTTATTGTTGGGCTCGCTCTTGTCATCATGGGAAGCTTGGCTCTCAAAGACAGTGTGGCTCGCAAGGAGTTTAAAAGTGCGGTGAAGGATTTTGATCCTGTGCCAATTGAGGCATGGAGGGGCAAAATTGATGATACACCTGTCACTGTGAAGCATGAGCCGCTCAATATTCAGGGCGTGAAGGGAGCCACGTCTGTCTACGCCGAAGCTTTCCTTCCTCTATGGCGTGGAGAAGGACATTATGATCATCATCGGGCGTGGGCCTACAACTGGGAAAGTATTGAGGTGATGATCAAGGGCATATATTTTTTTAAGCGGAAAGTTCCCTGGAGAAATGCCAGCTGGGATACGTATGTATGTACCCTCGAGAATTGTACCACGCCCGGTGCACATTGCAAGTGCACTGATGCGCTGGCTGCATTCAAGAGCAACTGCATTGCGTCTGGAAGAACATGTGATGGCTGCTCTGATAAATGTCAAGTGGGAAGAGAATGCGGAAGATGCATGCATTTTACGTACCTTTCGCGGTTCTATATTGTCGTGGAAGAGGTGCGCCCGGGAATTTTTAAAGAGGACCTTTATATGCGCAGTGCCAAATATGATTTTGGCCCTTTTTCTCACGATTACCAATCAGAAGCACCCGTAAGCGTTGCGGTGCGTGTGTATAGCAAAAAGGATCCCTATATCGCTCTGCAACGAATAACCCAGGGCACAAATGATCTTGGCACAAAGGACAATACAGCAGGCATTGTGATGGTCGTTGTCGGAGCGATTTTCCTTCTTATGGGCATTGGCGTGTGCATAACACTGTGTTGCTACTGCAACGGTGGAAAGCAGAAGCCAAGAAGAAACTCGAACGAAGAGTTTGCGTCGCCCATGAGAATGACCGACGTCTCCAGGAACAACGTAGACGCTGGAAATCAACAACTGGCACCACAGGCCCAGCTATACGCCCAGACGGCACCATCACAAGCATTTGTATATGGCCAGCCGATACCGCAGCATGGCTACATCGATCTTGAGTCCTCACCGCAGCAGTTGAATTACGCGTACGGGCAGCCGGTGCCGTTGTATTCATACAATGGGCAGTCTCAACGCGAGAAATACGGAGTTTCCCTCGACGAAAGCCATGTGGAAAAGTAAAAGAGAAATTTCGATTGGGGGAACTATATAACACTTTCATACGGGCTGGCTGTTATTGTTTTGTTTGATCGTTTCCTGAGCCCTTAGTCACCACTACAGGAGGTTGCCGCAAAAGTGAGGCCACTTATGCAGTTCGTGAAGTTCGAATAGAACGACTTTGTGACGCAAAGAAAATAAGTGCCAAAGCTGACAAAATGACTCAGTCAGTAGGCTTTTTCTCATGTGGGCAACTCAGTCAACACAGAAATGTAGATGCGTGTGAGGATACAGATAATATGGCCATTTTTAGTCTGCTTTTTCAAGTCAATCCCTTTTTTTT